TGAGTACCTCATTTCAAGAAAGATGTGGAGAAATTGGAGAGGGTCCAGAGAAGAGCCACATGAATGATTAAAGGTCTAGAGAACATGATCTATGAAGGAAGGCTGAAAGAATTGGGCTTGTTTAGTTTAGAAAGAAGACTGAGAGGGGACATGATAGCAGTTTTGATATATCTAAAAGGGTGTCACAAGGAGGAGGGAGAAAAATTGTTCTCCTTGGCCTCTGAGGATAGGACAAGAAGCAAGGGGCTTAAACTGCAGCAAGGAAGGTTTAGGTTGTACATGAGGAAAAACCTCCTACCTGTCAGGGTGGTTAAACGCTGAAATAAATTGCCTAGGGAGGTTGTGGAATCTCCATCTCTGGAGATATTTAAGAGTAGGTTAGATAAATGTCTATCAGGGATAGTCTAGACAGTACTGGATCCTGCCATGAGGGCAGGGGACTGGACTCGATGACCTCTCGAAGTCCCTTCCAGTCTTAGTATTCTATGATAAGGCACCAAGATGGACAGAGTAGTGCATCATGGGACATGTAGTCTTGGGAGATGCCCAGAGGCCAGTCTGTAAAGAGTAGGCATACAAATGTCTGTTTCCATCAGGCCCCACAGCTCATATCCAAATGGGCTTTCAATTTTCTATCCAAAAATCTAAGCTAGCCACAGGAAAAAAAAATAACATCCAATCACTCTAGGAGCTAGCATACCCATGAGGTGCATTGTGACAAGATCACCCACCCCTGTGCGCGCCCTCCTACTAAACATTGACAAAGCTCTTGGAAATTCAGAAACTTCCGAAATACAGTATTATTTAGTTCCCATTCTAGCAGCAGCAGAACCAGAACTGGAAGGGGAATGATATGGTTTCCTCCAGCACAAGATTAAAACTCAGCTCCCCGTCACACTAAAGCCACGTCTATACTAGGAAATTATGTCAGTTACTAAATTCGACTTATGAACTCCTGATTTTACAAATTCGAACTTGCGTGTCCTCAGTAGGGGGAAGCCTTGAAATTAGTCCGAGGCAGGCTCTGTTAATGTGGACGTGCTACCTTGGGGAACCGCGCGTGGCCTCCAGGAGGCATTAGTTCCAGTTAGTGGCACTGGAGCATCCACACTAACGTTATTTCAGACTTACAAGTTCAGAATTAGCATTCTTCCTCATGAAAAGCAGGAGTGCAGAGTTCAAATTCCACAACCCCTTATTCCGGAACAACAGGTTTGGTAGTGTAGCTATCACTTACTAATTCAACCTCGAAGGGGGGTTATTTTGGATTAAGTTCCTAGTGTAAACCAGGCCTAAGCATTCACCCATATTAGAAGGTGACATTATTATTTTTTTTATTATTGTGGGTTTAAATTGCAAACTAAAAGCCCCCTTGGAACACACACCATCAGGACCAACCGCTGTTGTTGAAGCTATATCCATCCTGGGCTATCAGAGAGATGGGGGTGAGTAAGAAACTTTTATTGGACTAATATCTGCTGAAGAGCTCTTTGTAAGATCGAAAGCTGGTCTCGCGCCAACAGAAATTGGCCCAATAAAAGACGTTGTGCCTCTAAGATGAGTGCCACACACAATTGTTCATAATCGCTCACTCTTTTCCTCGTTTTCTCTACACCCAGCACTCTCATTTGGCCCAAACGGCCACATTAACAATCTTCCTAGGTCAACAGCCCAATAAGCCTCCCGATTTAATGTGCCCTCATCCTACAAACCAAACCAGGACGCGTTGGAGAGGGTCCAGCGGAGGGCAACCAAAATGACGAGGGAGCTAGAGCACACGAGCTACGAGGTGAGGCTGAGGGAGTTGGACTTGTTTAGTCTGCAGAAGAGAAAAGTGGGGAAGGGGGATTTGAGAGCAGCCGTCAACTCCCTTAAGGGGGATTCTAAAGAGGATGGAGACACGTCCCCATCCTACCAGCTGGGAAAGGCTCATTTCTCTCAGAAGGGAGTTGCTGCGGTTGGGGGAGGGGTACTTCTCCCTCAGCAGCCAGGCAGCTCCCTGTGTTCAGATCTCAGGGAAGGGTCTGCCTGCTGAGCCACCAGCCATGATGAGCCAGAACAGAGGAAAGGGCTCCATTATCTTGAAGGCATGCAACAGCCGGGACGCCGGCGAGCCAAAAGCTCCAGGATGAAAAACACGATCAGCAACGTTATTCGTCAGGTCAACTGGAACCGTGAGCACTCACGTTGAAGCGCGTCTGTGCAGGACGGAGGAAAGGAGGGGGGCCTGTCAGCACCCTGCCGTCTCTGCGCACAAAGAAGAGGGTATTTTAAAAATATATATAAAAATGAAAGAGGAACGGCCTAGTGAAACTAGCCAATCCACTGCCTCCAAAGCTCTTCCTCGGCAGAGCGGCCAAAAGGAACATGCAAGAAACTACTCCCGTGACTTTCAGCGTTCCATTGGACTGGGACAGGAACAGGATGAGAAGCCAGACAGAACAGAATGAGCCGTGTTGGAAGACGGAAGCTTCAGCCACATGCTCTCTCCAGGGACCTGAACTGGTTCGGAGATGGCTCGTGCTGCCACCTTGCAGTAATTGGCCAAAAACTAAGCTGCTTGGTCACTGTCTATCCTACACAGACTTTTGCTGGTAAATTACAAGTAGATAGGGATGGAATCCACACTCTACTGCCCCATCTGATAAGCAAAAGCTTATTGGATAGTTGATACACTAGTTGCTTCCCCTGCAGGCAGCAGGGGGTGGCGGTGTAAGAGAGAGGTACCGGGGGGAAGCTGGCTTAAAAGCCAATTTGCCCCAGCTCTGGAGAGGGTAGGGGTGTAGCAGTGGCGTTCCACTTTTGAAATGTATGAGTTCCTTCTGGGGCTCTTGTACATTTCAAAGGGGAAGCGCCCCTATCGACTCAATGGACATTCCATCGACTCTTCGATTACTCATCCCTAGCACTAGGGAGTGTTGACATTACACAACCCAGTTCCACATAGACTGTGAAGCTTTGAGGGACTTCAACCCCAGTCTCGAAGCATATGGTACTTCCTCACTGACCCAGGCAGCCTGGGGGTACCTAGTCAAGGCTTTGTACATCCTGGATGGCTTGTTATTGCTGGAAATGCTACCCATGGCAGTGTAGACTTTTGCCCCTCCCCCATGACCTCTGATTGGCTCAAACTACTATGCATCCCTGGGAAGAATACCAGGAAGCCAGGCCAGTGAAAGATGATGGGGTGAGAGGCATTGTGCATCATGGTCCCTGAGACCTCATTTCATTTGCACACATTTTAGATGTTTTTTGGGGGCCCCAGCCCACTTTTCTTGAAAGCCGTGCACTATGCGGCTGCTGGGGATAGAGCCCAAATGCTGTCCAGCTGATTAGCAGAGCTGAGAGATTTGTCTCTGTGGTGCACAGTCTCAGATGCCTCGGTGCACATCAAAACATTTATTCTACACATGGATGGAAAAATTCTGCCCCTGGGTGGAAAAAGGACTAGAGGGAATATTGACCCCAGCTCAGCTGTTTGCCCTGCTTGAAGCCACATGCAGGCAAATTGCAGCCAGCCCTTGTCTTGTTCCTTGAATCTGGCCTCCTTATCCTGCCTTCCAGTTCCTGGTTATTGTGTCTGGCTTCCTCCAAGGCTCCATTCAAGATTACTTGGCTTCCACCTCTAGCTTGATCTCCTATGGTTCTAACCCTCGAATCTGAGAGGATCCAAAGCACGGGCAACCCATTTCTCTCTCCACCCTGCGTTGCCTTCAACCGCCTTGGGAAATGAGAAAAACCCAGTCAGGCCTGGTGACCATTGGCCAGCCCCGTGATATATCCCCATGTTCCCTCAGGGCAGCGATCTCAGCTCTGGCAGAGTTCCCCACCTCATGTTGCTCCATCAGGTTCTCTCCTCTCGGTGGTCTCCCGGCTTACTACAGTTCCAGAAAGCAAATTCATTGCTCTTTCTTTCCTAGCTCTGCACCAACAGGTGTGGTCATGTAGCACTGTTCCAAAACTCTTCCTCCTCTCACCTGGGCCCAGCCTTCATCCCAAAAAAAGTTGAAATTGTTTCTCTGTCTCCATTTTTCCCTCCCCCACCACCAAACCGCAAACCAGCCCTTGCCAGCTCTCAGCCTTGAGGTACCACCTCCCAAAACATGGTTACGTGGGGGGGGGGGGGAAGGGAAGAGAGATTTGAAGATCGACTCTTGAAAATTCAGTCCCTTCCAGTGTATTTGCTAGGTTTCATGCCATCTTTCAAGTAGGCCCCTTCCCTCCCTGCCAGTTGGGAGACGGATGGTTGTGCTCTGTTCACTTGGCTCTGAGGAATGTAGAGAGCAACACAAAGGCAAACAAACTTGAGGGTTCCCTCTTTAAGGGCTTGCTGGGGACTACATGGAGTTTCTGCCCATACGGGTCTTGGCTACAAGACCAGCACACTGGAGATCTGCCGCAAGTCCATGCAGATTTCACGAAGCTAACATCTTCCAAGGGTCCAGGCCTGTACAAGTTTTACCCGCATGGGGCTAGTTCAAAATGAACAAAGGAACAGGATTAAGTCTTAATGGTCTGATACCTTCTGGTGTACAGCCAGAGGTCCTCGAAGTTATGGATTGCTGCATTGGGAAGCCATCATGGTTTAACAAAAAAAAAAAAAAAAAAAAAAAAAAACACCAACACACGCATGTTACATTCCCTGATTTTTTTTAAACCAAAAGGTTTCACTCTGTGCCACCATCAGCAAGAGTTAGGTCTCTCCAACTCCACCCCCAGGAGAAGTTTCCAACTTATGTCAAACATCACCTTGCTACGTTTCCTGAGACTTCTTCAATGGCTCCCCTCAGAGGGCTTCCTGTTGCAGGGCTAGACCAGCCTGAAACGGATGGGGAAACGGGACAGAGTCGGCCTCAAAGAATTGGCTGACGCCACGTGCCTTTTTGATATCAGCAGAGCCCTGCAAATCTGTGGCTCTCTGCATCCACATTTTTATGGATACAATTTGTAACCATGCGGGGCCACCCCAGGCAAAGAAAGTCAAACAGGCGGCGTGTATAATTTAAAATACATTTATTGTTTCATTTGTTCTGGCTTTTGTTATACAAAGATGTTAAATAACTTAAATACATTCTCAGTCACTCAGAATCAGATTTATACCTACAAGCTGTACATATGAGGTAGAGAAAAAAAATAACTTAAGCTCCCATAAGACATTAAAAAACCAAAGAAAATACTAATCCTTCATACGTTCGTGTTCAATCCCCCGCCTCCCATGCAGAAGGAAATGCCATTCTCAAGTGCACAAAACAAATCCTAGACTTCAGTCAGACCTCACAGGGTTCTGAAGCGAAACGGGAAGAACGTGGCGGGGAGAGAGGGAGGTCATGTGTAGAGAAGTCTAGCTTGGGTTGATTTACCAAGTGAGTGGGCAAAGCTAGGGTAGATTCAGCATGCAACCCAACTGTTAAGGACCACAATTCAGCGGTCTGAAGTGCATTTCGCAAGCTCTTCAGAGACCAAGTGCTTCTATGCTCTGGTTATGGAGGAAGGCCAGCCCAGCCTCACCCTACAACGCAGCATGTGCAACGGGAAAAGCATCTCATGGGAAGAAAGTGACTTTGCAAAGCTTGGGTCTCAGGAAGCCTTGACCTGGGTGCAGCTGAACACAAACGGGGGAGGGGATCCTAGGGAACTATATTTCCATGTATTGCATTGACTTCGGGTTTTCCGCATAGAAACCTAGAGAAAGAAAGAATGATCCCTTTTAAGTAAGAGCTCACCTAAAGTGGCACCCAAGTTAAGGTGCTGTTTGCATTTCTAGCCTATTCTTCCTTAGACGCTTTGGAGCAGTACAACTTCCACACACAGATGCCTTCTGCCTGCTTTGACCTTTAGGGCTAAGGTGAGAAGTGACTCAAAGTCCTGGTATTCTGTATTTGACCTCTTCCCTAATGGAGGACGGGGGGCTGCTCCAGTTCTAACCCTCCCCCCTTTGCACTCAACATCCAGCGACCAGTTCAGTGACCATCTGCCCAGAGAGGATGACCCATCTGGTAACCTACATGGGAAGTCCTCATGGACAGAGGTCTGCAGGCTCCATCCTGCACAGGGTTGAGTATCCACCTCACTTTGATGTCAATAGGAGAGGAAGGTCCTCAGCACCTCCCAGGTGACACCTAATGCCAAATGGGATTTTTGCCTTAGCTACGTAGCTGTTGGAGAGGAACAGGTTGGGAGAGAAGCTAGCAATGGCACTGCATGGTAGGCTACTGAAAGGCCTTGGCTCTCCTGGGAGGTCTACTGCTAATGCTAGCGAAATGTTCCCAGGAGTGTTTGCAAATGGCCGAATGCCCTCTAGGTGCCCCCTTCCAAGCAATGCCCTTGAGAAGTTTCCCCTCAAACTTACACTTGGCAAAGGGCTAATACCCATGGCAAACACGGGGCAAGCAAAGGAAGAAGTTGGCAGGCCTCCGCCCTTCCCAGCACTTCCTTTGTGGAACGAGCAGAGATGGCAGGCTGTGAGGACAGGACAGATGTTAAGCCCTTCTCATCCCAGTCATTTGCCTTTCCACAGATCCAATTATGGTAATTCATAACTTTACGGGTCCCCAACTCTAACCTTCGCCTTCAAAGGAGTGTTCCAAAGGGTCCTCAGGTGGGCTGAATACCAGCCTATTTTCACAAAGCAACTACTGAATGGAAAATCAGCCAGTTCTCTCCCACCTCCATTGCTTTCAGAATCGCTACTTTTCCTGCTCCGATTGAAAAAAAATCCCTGGCAAAAGCCTCCTGTTTCAGGGAAAGTGGTATGAGCCCACAATTTATTATAGTCCACTAGGACACAGATCTGAGCTCGATCGATCGATTTTAGAGGCGGGCATCATTACTGTTAACAGCCTCTTCCTTCCACCTCTGCTCAGGATTTCTAGTTGTAGTTTGAGAGACGGAACAGATTAACACTGTCTTTGCCTGGAGGTAAATATGACTGCCTTCGCCACCTGAAGGCCTCTGAAGTCAGAAGAAAGCCGCACAGTACTGTAATATGTAGGATTTGTTTTGCACGGCTCCCCATCTAGCGATGAAGTTGCTTTGCAGAGCTTAGAAGCTGGTTAAAATAGATGGGTGCAACAATTATTTGTGGGATTTATTTTCCATAGAAAAAAATAAAATAAGCAAACTTTTCCCGTTTGCCTGGTTTACAAAAATATGTATATTTCTGACATAGCAAAATGCATCGCTCAAAAAATATTTTTCCATCTGCTAACTTATTATAAAAAAATTAAAATAAAGTTATAAATAATGGTTGCACCCTCTCCATTACCTTCCAAGTCTCGCTGGATAAGGTGAGCCAGCCCTTAAAAAACGCAGGGAGGGGGAAAGCAGAAAGGTCCCACCTTGCCAGCCGTCCCCCTCAGTCAGCCCTTAAAAAACACAGGGAAGGGGAAAGAAGAAAGGTCCCACCTTGCCAGCCGTCCCCCTCAGTTCTCTGCAAGAATATTTTAGGGCAAATACTTTGAGCTTTTCTTTCCTTGTAAAATGGCACCATGACAGAGTGTCCAATTCCACCCTCCTACCAGGCTTGTAGAATGAACATTGCAATGGAGTTACATTGCTTATGCCAATGGCAGAACCAGCCAGTATGGAAAAGTAGAACTTAATAGGGATGAAGTCAAGGTTAAGAGTAACCTCTAGAGAACCTATTGCCTAGAGCCTCAGACATGTCCTATAGGGTTTTTCTTTAAGCTACCCTATAGAGCAGGGATACAAGTCTGTTACATTCCATAAGATCATTAAAAAACCCTATAGACAAGGGTTAGGAGCTACTAAATCCTGTGGAGACACTACTGTTTGCACCCATATTAAGCTCTACAAGACCTTCCCATAAGGGAGAGATGTCATGTTTTCCCCCATACCTTTTCCAAAATTAAGGCAAATATTGGAAAACCCTGGCATTAAAAAACAAAACAAAAAAACAAACAAACACCACACAACCAAAAAGGCATGTTATACCTCCTTAGGTCAAGACGACAAATTCGCCCAGTTTCAGCGTGTTAGTATATTTCATACACTGCCTATACATTTAATGCATGTGCCTCGCTACTATTGTAGTTTATAGTTTTGCTTAACCACAGGAGAATAAACCTTACTATTTACAATATACAACAGGAAAGTAATATATCCAAATTAACATAAATACAATTTGTTTTTAAATACTTACAGAAAGCATCCAGGCCTCAGTGCGTGAATTATAATACACAGAAGAGCTCTCTCACTCAGTAGTTCATTCACTCTTTGCCTCTAGGTGATTTTAGTTCGCCTTATTTCTCCACCCACTCTCTCCCCCCCCCAGTGTCAAACACATTGCATGAATATATATATATCATGCGTAAGCTTATTCGATGAATGAGCCACAGCCTCCTAAATGCAGAGTCAGGACCACCCCTCTACACATGGGACCTCGCAGTCCTCTGGCATGAATATAAGTGTGGTGTTGCTCCAGAGGTCAATGCAGATGGTTACATAGATGACCAAAAAGAGAGGAAACAGATTGGGTCCCATAGTTACAAAGACGTGCACAAAATCCAGCTGCCATCCTGCTTTTTAAATAGCAGAGATGGTCTGGATGCAGCCAATCTCCAATTCTCCACATTTTAGGGGCATTTTAGATCTGGGCTTACGTCTCTTTTTTGGGGTGGAGCGAGGGGAGTGTTCTAATAGGACCAATAGTCCTGCAATGAGTTTGCATCAGAGGGAGATTGAGAATGGACATAATACCACATTGAAACCACAAGGTCCATCTGAAACGCTTTGCAATAAATAAGTGTTCATTCAATATTTATATATATATATATATATATAATTATATGCATCTAGGTCGCCACACTGACTAATATGCTTCTGATCCATCTCGGTAAAATAAACCCCACCAGGTAAACTGCTTGTGAGAGACTTTGAAATGGGTGCATCTGGCAGAAGCCACTCAATCTTCCTTCCACCTTGCATGGAATGAGTCTTCTTTGCCACACCAGGCAAGGTCACCAGAAATGACAGGCGGTGCCTCAAAACTATTCCCCACTCCACCCCACGTGTGCGCCCATCTCCAGAAGTGTACAAAAAAGGAGAGAGAATGTTTCACGTTGCAGGATCATAAAACAAGGGAACAGATACTTCCCTCCCCCAACCCAGAAGTATGCCCACGCTCAGGCTGGACTGCAGTTCTGTTGATTAGGTAAGAAATATCCCCTCCCAGTAGATGCACATGAACAGCTTAAAATATTAGTGGCTACTATGAGAAGAAGCTCTGAAGATCTTCTTTCTTGAAAGAGAGTGTGCTCTTCCAAGGCAACCATCTGATTTTCCTTGGAAAAAGGAATTAGCCAGCCTTCTTCCCTTGAAAGCCAGATACGGGTTATCAACTAAGGACAATCGCTACTACTAGATAATCGAAGACTGCTACAAAAAACGCCCTCCACTCTCCAGTGTTTCCTTAGAAAGTTTCGTTACGGCATTTACCAGCGACTTCTGATCCCAGCAGTGATATATATGACCGAAGAACGTTGCCACGTCAAGTAATATGTTGTAAATATCCTTTTAAAAAAAAAAATCAATGGAGGTTGTCAACTAGTTCACAGCATTGGCGTGCTCTGCCATTGCATTTGGCTTGGTTTCTTCGACCACCCTTGGGTGGAACCATGTGGACTAGGCATTTGGAATCCCAAGATTACTTACTTTTAAAAATAGGACTCACAATCTAGTGGTTAAAAAAAAGCTTAAGGTCGGAGGGTCTGCATCTAGTTTGTGCCATGTTCTAGACTAAATGGAATGATGACTAAGATAAAAATCTCCAAGGGCCCCTTCTAGTCCCACATGGCTGCTGTACAACAAAGGCATCGAGTCAGCCTGGTCTTCTGAAATGCAATACAATTGTCACGGTCATGAGCCACTATCAGGGAAAAATGAAACAAAAAGTAGTGTCCAAATTCTGCCAAGATAAGACTGAAGTCCTCATTTGGGTTTGTTTGAAGCAGCCACGACAGGGCGAGTCTGAACAAGGAGGTGAAAATATGAAATATAACCCTCTCCAAAATGAAACCCAACCAGTGAAAGGTCTTCTAGTGGTTTTAAGTTAAGACAGTGATAGTGCTGAAGAACCCGCCTCTAAAGAACATGTCAAGATCAGGGTCTGGTCAGGAGGAAGGAGGTGGGTGCATCTTTGAATGGTCTTCCCAACCATTTTGTCATCTACAACATGGAGAGCTAGGTGGGCACTAGTATTTAAGCTATGCTCACTCAGAGCACACAGACGTGGCGCCAGAGTTAAGATGCCCTCAAAAGTAGGTCTAGTCCCATCTGTAGATCTAGCCTATAAAGCTGACAAAATGCCACTTGAGGAACAACTGATATGCTCTCAGCTTAACCCATACCTAGCTCTTACCCTATCTTTAGGGAAAACCAATATTACTGTGACCACAACGTTTCAAAGCACAAAGAGATCCGAAGTCCATTTATGTCATTCGTTTGTTTGGCTCTCTAGATTTTCAGTTTTGTGGAGGACTGGTGAAACAAACCAAAAAGATTTCAAGGTAAGCGACTGATCTATCAAGCGGGTAGGGTGGTGGATGGCTTTGGTGAGGATCTACTGGTACCTAACCCCAATGCGACAGGCACTTATTTCCACACGGTTGGACCTCATGGTTAAAACTCAGTCTACAAAAAAGAACCCAAAAAAAACAGCAACACAGCTGGGTCACCTGTACCCTACAAAGTGCTTATGTCTCAACATAGCTTCCCGATCCCAGAACGTCCGTCAAACCCTGTTTGTCTCCATGCGTAGCTCTCTGCTCGCCATCTCCCGTCCCAGAGGATCTCCGTGCAGCAGAGCGTGCGTTAATCTTTGCAGGTATAAACTTCTTCTCTTTGAGTACACTGCTTGCATTCCACATAGCAGCACCAGCGAACCTGGCACTGGCAGGGCCGGGTGACCACCCTGCTCTGCGTGTTGTGCCCACGGCCGCAGCAAATGCTCTCGCAGTTCTTGTCCTTGTAACATTTCCTCCCCGACGTCCCAGGGGAATACCTGCTCATCAGACAGAAGCTGGGCGAATCGTCGATGTAGACGAGATCTGTAGTCCGGGGAATCTGATCGCTGTGGCCCGGGGTGGACTTCTTGGGTGGCGAGATGTCCCCCTCCCCGGTGGCCTCGTTGGTGGTGCTGCCCACTTTGAGGGAGGTCTCGTACTTCTGCTTCAGCTGTTTGCCGATCTCGTGGAACGGAGAGAGCTGCCTCCAACACGTGCGGACGGTGCAGGAGCCGGACACGCCGTGGCACTTACACGTCGTCTCCACGCCAGCTTTGATGACCTGCCGATAAAAGGCAGCCAAAGAGAAAGTCACTGAGGGAAGTGGGAGAAAGTTTAACCACAGAGCCAACCGACCGTCTCCAAAGCTACCCTGGTCGAGCCATGGAAATAGGGCAATTCAAAGGTTCTCTCCTGGCTGGTGTACTGTAGAGATATAAAATCCCATTTACCGTAAGTTAGCGAATATAACCTGTGGGTTATACATGTTTTTACAACACCCCCCACGGGGTATACGTGTCCAAATCTTATACAAGCGGCTCCGCCTACCCCTGCCCTCCCCATTAGAACTGGGTCAGCTCTGTTGCAGGGGAGGGGTCTGACAAGCTTCCAGTGCACCCGCACGGTGCTCTTTGCCTCTCCGTCCACCCCGAGGACGGTGGGTGGCACCTAGCTGCAGCTGTGCGGGGCAGGCCTGGGCAGGAGCATAGTTCCCCTCCTACAGGCTGGCCGGCTTGCTGGCAGCAGGATGGCCGTCACCTTGCGTCTGCTCTCTACGCTGGGTGGCTACCTCCTCACCTCGGCACCGCTACTCAAGTGCCCAGGGCTGCTGCACTGGCGCAAGCGGCAGAGCTTCTGCTGCCACCACATCTCCCGCCGCAACCACCTTTTTGAAGGCGGCAGAAGTCTCTAAGGGTTATACACATCCTCAGGTAATCTAATTTTTTTTTAAACCACACGATAGAAAAACTGCGGGTAATATAAGAGTGCATGTTCTACATGGACGTGGGTTATATTCGCTAATTATAGTAATTGGTTACCCATTAAACGTTATTTTTAAACAATTCAAGGAGCAGGTGAGGCTCCTGTGGGCCCCCCTCCCCCGCTGTAGACAAGGGCTGTAGGGGCCAGGGCAACCACAGACAGGGGCTACTCTGGCTGGCTGGAGCTTCCCCTCCATGCAACAGGCCTTAAGTGACTGGATCACTTCTTGACTCAGTGCAGTCGATCTGTGGAACTCCTTGTCAGAGGATTCGGTGAAGGCTAGGACTTGAACAGGGTTCAAAAAGAGCTAGATAGATTCATGGAGGTTAAGTCCATCAATGGCTATTAGCCAGCATGGGTAGGAATGGTGTCCCTAGCCCCTATTTGTCTGGAAATGGGTGATGGGGGAGCGATCTTGTGAGGATTTCATTGTACTTCCTCCCGCTGGGGCATCTGGTATTGGCCAAGAGGATCTGGGCTAGGCCGCCTGCCACCTTTAAATACATCTAAAAAGGCAGGGCTCCCTAACCTTGCTGTGGCTCCCCCACTTATACATTTAGTTGAATCAGCTAATTGAACACCCTACTGGACAGAATGGGCAAGGATGAGAAAGTTGGTAAAGACCAGAGCCAAGGCCTGGTCTTTTCCACAAAGCCTCCGGCTTGTGGATTTAGAGGCAGAGTAGCAGGCTCCATTAGTCTATGTGATCAGGTGGAAAGGCCCATCACGGTGGGCATAAAGGTGCCCTACAGCTCTCAGCATGATGCAGCCTTCAAGGACCTAGCGACTCTTGAGTGGAGATGGAACAGAGCGTAACTACAGTTTAAGCCAGCGAGGGGATCATGAGTGAGCCTCACAATTGTTGTAACCAAGAGGGTCCCTCGGGACAGGCTAGTTTTGCGAAATGTGCTTGTGCACCTAGAATTTGCCTGGGGTGGCGACTGAACCGTAGCAGCGCTTTGACCAGAAGCGGCGGGCACGCACAGCTCTCCCTATCAGTGCAGTGTGCAAGCAGCCAAGACTTCAGCACAAGCCACAGGGGATCGGCTGCTGGTTTTGTCCTGCCTTCCTCCAAGGCAGGCTCCTTTGGCAAAACCTTGGAGCCTCCTTCAGCGCCTTAGACTGCCTCGCTGTAGCCTACACAGTCGTGTGACAAAAATGCTCAGGACTATCCCTGCTGTAGAGATGGGGAAACTGAGGCAAGGAGGCCAGATGACTTGTCCAAGTCTCACAGCAGGCCATTAGCAGAGACAGGGTTAAAAACAAACACACACAGGTCTCTGCTGTCCATTACCTTACACAGTGGGCCACCTCCCCAGAGGGGGAAAAAGTTTTCTGATGAGGCCACAATTGCATGTGTCAACCCGTCTCCCTCCAAAAAAGGGAGGGGAAGTTCCCACAACTTCGTTAAATTCAGAATTTGAGGCAGAAGGGGGCTTAGAAGCCCTGCAAAATTGAAACAAGATTTGACACCTTCATGTAGGGCCTCACAGGTCAGATTCTGCCCTTGTTTATATCCAGGGGCTTCCGTAGTGGCGCAAGGCCAGAGTTTGGCAGGGAGTCTAGGTTTTTGATGTTTTTACTTTCGTGCACTAGGCTTCCACCATGCCACTTGCTTGCTGCAGAAAGGTTGATCGGATCTGAGGGATCCAGAGATTCCACCCCCTCCCTAAGGAGCCCATCCCAGTGTTTCCCCACCCACCCTCCTAGGGGGGAGAGGTTCCCCCCCCCATAAGATCCAGCCTAGACCTCCCCACTACAACTTGAGACCGTTGTTCCTCGTTCTGCATCTGTCCCCACTGAGAACAGCCTCTCTCCATCCTCTTTGGAACCCAGCTTCAGGGAGTTAACGCTACTACTGAATCCCTCTCCACTCTTCTCTTCTGTAGACTAAAGCCCAAATCTCTCAGCCTCAACTTCTAAGTCACATGCTCCCGTCCCCGCATTTTCACTGCCCTCTGCTGGACTCTCTCCAATGCGTCCACAACCTTTCTGTAGCTTGGGGGAGGGGGAGAGAAGAGAAGAGAAGGGGGCACAGAACTGGACATGACACTCGAGATATGGCCTCAGCAGTGCCCATGTCAGAGAGGATGGAGAAATCAGAAGCCAAATGTGACTTCCAAGAATAAGAGGGGAAAGATGACATTACCAAGGTGCATGCACACCAGAGCTCTCGGGAGTTCTTCCCGCTACTGCTTACACACCTACATGGACTGCTCTTACTTCCTACACTAGTTCAGAGCCAAGTGGGAACAGGGTGAAGCCACGGAAGAAACATGCTTTGAGAAGATCAGCAGAAGAGGGAAGATGGCAAGGTACAGGGAGATTGCTCCCAAATGCAGGTGCTGCAGAAGAGGCAGCTGCTACCTACGTGGCTTGATTTAATGGAGGAAGCTGAGGAGGTTGGTGCTCCCAGCTGCAAGGAGTGAAAAAATAAGGGTTGCATTCTTAGCTGGAACAGAGTGCCGTTGCTCTACTGTCTGATTGACACCAGTGGAGGAGCTGGTAAATTAATGCCTTCCAACTGGCTCAGAGGATGCAAGAGACTTCATACGATTGGAGCCCATCCAACTCAGAACAGACTTAACGTCCTCCTCCACCTGGCCTTCTCCACTGGTGGGGTTGCTCTCTGCAGCCCTTTCATGGCTGCTGAAAAAACTACAGAAGCATCAAAGTTGGACAATCATAGGGAGGTTGTACTTCCATGGACTGTAATTAATTATTTTAGCCTCCCCCCCCCCCC